GTCTCTTAATCCAGATAGAAAAACGTATTATTTAGGTTCTGAAATGTAACAGTGAAACTAATGGTACTTCAGCAATTTTTACTAGTTGAATAGTTTTAAAAAAAAAATTAAAAGGATTCGCTAAAAACTAAATGTTGGACTAACCTGCAAATATTAATTGAATAATAGTTGACAATTTTAATATTTAATATTGACTAGATTTTGATATGTATCAAGTACGGGATTATAAATTTTAATTGTATACTATTGAAGTTTATTTTGTAATATATAGAAAATATTGAAAAGATATAACTATATAAAATAAATTTTAAAATTATCGTTTTGAATCATAAAAAAAAAAATTAGATAAATAGTTGTTATATTTGATTTATATAGTTCCAAACTAATGTAAATAAGTTTGATATTACGACTTTTCTCTAATGCTAAATTCTCAACTTATATCATGTTGAAATTAAAGAAAATTCATATCCCGAATTATAAACCCAAACATAAAAATTATTTTAATACTCCTGAGTCCTGACCACTAGACTAATGCCATGTTAATTAAATAATTGATCAGTTAAATTGTGATGAGTTGCATTATGAAAGTGAATTATATAAACAAACGTAATTAGCTTGCAGAGCTGCAGATCCAGACTTAAACCCCAGCTTTAGCCGAAACTAAAGCATCTATTTCGAATACTGAGGGGATTTCTTATGCATGGTCCTCTGTTTTCTTAAATATCTTTTCAATTAATATATATATGGATTTGCAGAGTCTTACCATTGGTTTCAAAGCTAGATTCAGAAAACGTGGATCTAGAAAAATCCATCAATTGTGATCAATTCAGAAAAATCCACTTTCTCGGGAATTCCTTCACCAACCTGTGATCAATTCGTGTTTGACAAAGTTAAAAGATTTAATTTTTTGCCTTTTGTGTTCAAGAAGGGAACCTCCGAAAAAAAATGGAATGGCCATGACGTTGCTTGATACGCCGGTATGGGAAGTGGCCAGGCCTCACGATCGGTAATATAATAATGTTCTATAACTTCCACTTTCCTTGTTATTATTCTTCAATTTTAATTTTTTTTAAAAACGTCCAAATTCGTTGAAATTTGATAGATTGGTTCATAGCATTTATCTAATACATTAGTCACATTTTACTTCAAACGCATGATTCCTAAAACTCTCAATTTCAATTTCGGTTTCAGAGCTGAATTTTTTTTGTTTTCTCCAAATTTCTAGCTAGCCGAGACTAGAATTAGAACGTAATTGCTACCGACACGAGCTCCAAGCAACTTGACTTGAGTTTGCTGCAAAGCTTCCCAATTTAGTAGCGCCAGAAATAGAATCATTGGTCGATATAATCATCACCATAGAAAAAAGATCAAGTTCCACACATTTTTTCATCTATTCGCGTGTACGTATCAACGCATTGACATCGCCTGGTTTAACTTAACGACGACTTTCTAACCGTTAAAAGAGATATATACACGTACACTTCATTGTATCTTCTTTCACTATGACAAATTCACATTAAATATTATTTCTAAAATGACTCTTCTATTACAAATACGTTTTCCTATTTCCTTTTCCTTGGAGCATTTGTATGCATCCAAAGCTTTGTTCATAGTAAGAAACACGGTATAATGTATACATTAATTACTTTCAATAAGATGACAAGTTCAAATTTAAAAGTAACTACCACTTTTTGTGTACACATTTACAAAAATACTATTTAGGAGTGTCCATTTACAAAAATGCCACTAATTATAGATTTATAAAGCCTATATCTTAAAATTCTAAACTCTAAAAAATATTTTGACACCTAAAACCCC